TGTGTGTGTGTGTGTGTGTGTGTGTGTGTGTGTGTGTGTGTGTGTGTGTGTGTAGGGGGCTCAGGAGCGTATTGACAGTCTCCGTCGGGCTGGGGTGATCCACCAGAAGCAGCCGGTGGTTTCTTTGGAAAACTTCATCGCTGAGCTTTTCCCTGACAGGTGAGCCCCCCCCCCCCCCCCCCCCCACAAACACAGTGGGGGGGGGCACAGAGCCGTAAAGCTGTGATTGTCCCCAGGTGGTTCGACATCGGGTGTCTGATCCTGGACGACCCGGGTCACAGCATCCACATGGAGGTCTTCACTCAGGCCACTCCTCTGGCCCTGGCCCACATCCAGCAGGTACCCAGCCTCTGTGCTGTTAGCCTAGCTGTTAGCTTAGCTGTTAACTTAGCTGTTAACTTAGCTGTTAGTTTAACTGTTAACTTAACTGTTAGTTTAAGTGCTAGTTTAGCTGCTTACTTAACTATTAGCTTAGCTGTTCATTTAGCTGTTAGCTTCCATTAGCTTAGATGTTAATTTAACTGTTAGTTTAGCTGTTAGCTTCCATTAGTTTAGCTGTTAGCCTCGTTATCTTAGCTGTTAGCTTAACTGTTATCTTAGCTGTTAGCTTAACTGTTATCTTAGCTGTTAGCTTAACTGTTATTTTAGCTGTAAGCTTAGCTGTTATCTTAGCTGTTAGCTTAACTGTTATCTTAGCTGTTAGCTTAACTGTTATTTTAGCTGTAAGCTTAGCTGTTAGCTTAGCTGTTATCTTAGCTGTTATCTTAGCTGTTAGCTTAGCTGTTATCTTAGCTGTTAGATTAGCTGTTAGCTCAGCTGTTATCTTAGCTGTTAGCTTAGCTGTTAGCTCAGCTGTTAGCTTAGCCCACACACACCTAGTCCACTTCAGCTGAGGACAGCTAAACCCTGAGTCGGGGGCTGGAGCCTCAGCCTGAGGGCTCCTCTGTTTCACCGTCTGTGCCCCCCCAGGCCCAGTCCCTGACCCCCGCCGACTACAGCCTGCGCTGGTCCGGCCTGGTGGTCACTGTGGGGGAGGTGCTGGAGCGCAGCCTGCCCAACGTGAGCAGAGCGGACTGGCACCAGGCGCTGACCGGCACCAGCCAGAGGCAGATGATCCACACAGCGGCCAGGGCCCTGGCCGGCATGTACCAGCAGCAGCTGCCCCCCAGGACTGAGTGAGGGGGGCGGGTCCACGCTGGGGGGAAGGGGGGGCAGCCTACGGGTCAAGGAGCAGGAGACCGGCCTCAGCCCCATCACCTGTGAGGTCATCAGCAGGAGACCGGCCCCCTATGAGGTCATCAGCAGGAGACCGGCCCCCTATGAGGTCATCAGCAGGAGACCGGCCCCCTATGAGGTCATCAGCAGGA